CCTATGCTGTAACATATGGCTGATTTCTACTGATCTCGTATGTATTGGTACTATGACAATGTTTCCGAGGCAAAAAATAGTTTTTAACGCTGATCAGATACCTAAAATAGCGGCTAATCCCATATGAAACATACAAAGTGGTATAATTTACCTGGTTCACGAATCCTTACACTAGGAACCTCCACAGCAAACTCTTCCGAAATCGAATCACGCATAGATTGTGAGCTGGTCATAGCCCTGCTGTACCAGTCYGGGGTAGAGGGTACCTCWAGGGTAACAGGGCGTGGTCGATCGGGGCCATTAAGCACCGCTTGTTCTTGTTCCTTTGATGGTAGACATTTATTAAGRGCTTCTAGTACAAAGTCTGGCATATGATCTTTCCACATTAGACCTGATATTTTRATGGACTGGAATTCGTCTAAGCCGGCCCAAACAGGCTCGTACATAGTTTCCGTACGACCACAGCCACTGAGGAACAAAAAATACCAATCAATACAGTCAACTCTCGCCTTGAAAACACCCCGCTACAACGGACTCCTCGATATTGCGGACAGTAAAATATTGAATCCCCGGCCAAAAATCCAAAKAAATGACTGAAAGTAACTCTCGTTACTACGGACCCTCGCTACTGCGGACACTAAATTACGGTCCCGAGGGTGTCCGTAATAGCTGTAATAAACAAATATATAGACGCAATGATTTATCACGTGATGTTTGCAGAGACTTTTTTCCATGTGCGATCAGTCTGCTAGCCTGCGAACAGCAGGAGACTTTTTTCGGACAGTGCGTCGCCTATCATGAAGGCTTCAAGTTGATACTGAAGTCTGACTTACTAGTTGACAGAGCATGTTTTGACGACGTGTAGAATCCTACCAGGAGGATAAAAACGCATGGAACTGGAGTGAGTTATTTCTGGTATTTCAATGTTTTCRATCTCACCATCCAGCTCATCTTTCTGATTATCAAACTTGACACACTTGCARCCATAGCAACAGACAAAGGCGCATCGACAGGCACACCCTCGTAAAATCTTCCACTAAAAATAGAAACATRACGTAATACTTTAATATTGGTTTTGATTGTGYTGCAACCATAGCAACAGACAAAAGCGCACTGGGTAAMACTTGAAAGTTTATCTAAAACTKTTTATAATACCTTTGACATCCCAGACTTGGTAATCAAAGTCATGATATTATTACGCAAATCTTCCAGTGTGAACAGACTCAGTCTAAAAAAAATACAGTTWACTCTCTTTGAATGACSACTCTAGTTCAGTTTCCCATATAAACTCTCTCGTAAGCGACCATCTCTCGTAAGCGACCACTTTTTCCTGATCCCGAGGTGGTCGCTTACGAGAGTTGACTGTACACAACAAACCTTGGAATCATATCTTTCCCGATGACCACAGATATGACGAAGTCCTTTGCATAATGAGCTGCAGACAGGCTTAGGTTAGCACCAGGAGGGGAGTATGCATAACAGAACAGATCAGGGTACCGTGGTCGCAGAAGGAATGCYAGTATTGCAGCAGTGCCTGCGCCCAGGGAATGACCCAGGACTATCAGACGATAATTTGGTGTACCACAGTCCTGTAGAATATACATAGTCTTACATGTTACATGTACCTATACAGGCAAAAAATAAAAGACTCACAGAACTGTCCAGAGAATAGACTCATTTTTGTATTAAATTTACATACACAACGCTCTTTTATCAGACGCTCCTATCATAYCTTCTTTTTGTTATAGAGTAAGAGCTTGTTAAAAACCTAAGGAACCTTTTGAAAAATCATTTGACTGCATTTACTTACAGGGTCTGAATTAAAAGCCTTTTGAAGTATTCCTTCATTTATGAGCTTGCTCTGAATGTACACAGCACATCTCACCATTCCCTATAGAAAATTGTAATGACAGTACACTGGATTAATAGCAATACTCATTTACGACTGCCGCATACCAATCAACAATTTGCTTTGCCTGGATATCATTATATAAAATGCAGCATCATAAAGGTCCATAGCCAAACGGCAACCATAATTACAGTACATCATATTACCCCTTTATGCTCTATGAATGGAGATATCCTAAAGGAACCTTTACATTTGCGATTTTTGCAGCGCGATAATCTCCACTTTGCTATGAAGTAAACAGTAAACAGCCCTGCGATTGTTGCGGTGATGAAAAATCGCCGCGATGTTGCAGCCAATTTTCAAGCATGTTCAAATCTCAGGAGATGGTCGCGCGACGATTGCCGCGAGAATCGCTCTGGAAAAATTGCAATTGTAAACGATTTTATCTTTAAAACAACGGATGGGGATGGATTGCAATGGATACATGACATCACCTCATTTCCATAAAAATCTAAAACTTTCACAGTGAATGACAGTTAACCATGGCCCTTAAATGTGATTATAATGAGTTCTTGTACCTTATGTCCATACCAGGATGAATCACCATCCTCAACAGGGATTCTCTCAGGTTCCACAGAGAAGTCCGTCAGTATATCCTACATTTATTTGAAAACAAAAATTAATATAGAAATGTAACTGTCAATTAAAGAGAAATTATCAACTGAGATTGAGAAGAGGCCCCATAAGAGGCTATAGATTACTATAGCAGTGTGTGTATTGGACACAGGACAAGTGTAGTGCCTGCCACGCCTCTTTTTAAAGACCAGCCTCTTGCTGAACAGAAGAAGTTACATGTATACAGCACAAAKACAGGTTGGCAGACACTCATTCAAGGAAACATCTGTAGGTACATGTACATGTAGTGTTCTGAACTTGTGAAGGTAGTAGGGTTGTCAAATTGAGACTATAGTCTAAAGGGACTCTATCACCACTCTGTGTGTCTGTACAGTACTAACCTGTAATGATAATGTTCCTCTAATAACTACAACTACAGTTTTCTTAGTGTGATCCAAGGCTACATAGAAAGGAGACTTGTACATCTGATAAACAAAAATATTGTTTAATGTTCTTATGACGAAGACAATGATGATGATGATAATAATAACAGTCAATAATAATAATTGTAATAGTACTGTAACTGTTTTTTGGAACATCCAGTTTTTTTATGGTCAACTATCACAGCATGATGAACATGATTCAACTCCTCTATCGTTTAAGCGGGGCTAAAACATCATCAAGACAGTGCTCAAATGTCCTATCCAACATGATTTAACAGCTCATATACAGGGATGATAATAAGCATTACTTACATCATTATGATAGCTACAATAAATAACATCTGAATTATGGAGACCAGCAATTGTCTTGAGAGCAGAGAAATGACATCTACAGCAGTTGTCCTCCTCTACATGAACAAACTTATGAACTCTTTTATCAAAGGAACGACAGCAATAACAACACCTGTGAAATAATAACAAAAAAAAACTTTATCATCAAATTCATTACTAGGCAAACACAATAGAAAATCTTGTTGTGATAGAATCTTTATGGGAGAAAAAGAATGGTCCTGATATCCAAAAGATTACATTGGATTACCACTTAAAAAAGGTTTTTAGTACCAAAATTTGCTTGATCCTATGTTGGAATTTGATAAGCTGCATATAATTATTATGGTCTGACTTTTATGCACTTTAAAACTGCCTGCCAAAACCAAAAACATATTTTSCTTACCTAAAACTTTTCATTAGCTTACAGCATCCACAACCAATATTGTTTTTCATATAAATAGGCCAACCATACGCTGCAAGGGCATAGTTCATGTAGTATGCAATTTCTTTRTAAGTTAAAAGTTCTTCCTGTAAAATAAGGTGCCACGATCGTGATTACATGTACATCCTACACTGAATGTAGAATAATCTCTTGTAGAATTTATGTACAACTTCTGTACAACTTTGCCCTTGAAATATTGTGAAGTATTTGGTTTGAAAAGCAACTTTATATTGAATTGAATCATATGGGGTCACAAGCATTACAGCCTTAATTTGGTAAAGTAGGGAGCCCAAAGTTAAAAAATGCTGGATTTAGTCCTCTGGCATCTAAAGAAAACCCTGCAAAGTTTGGTAGACTGAGGTTGGCTTTCAAATTTAGCTAGGTCAGTTGCTTCAATGCAAAATATAGGCAATTTTAAATTAAAAACAGGGCACATGAAACTACTAACATGCTCATTGATAATGACCAGTATGTACAGTATTATACCTTATAGTCTAGCCTCAATAGTTGAGCATTATTTGTACGCTGGTACCGTAGGGAAGATTTCTTTAGTGGTACACCATCCTAGAATTATACAAGACAAATGTAGCATTTGTTCATATTAACACACATAAACGAGTAATCTATTTCTAATTATTTCTTAACAATAAGTTCAGACATTTATTACAGCTGTGCATGTCTCTGTACTTTGACATAAACAAGGTGAGGGATGGAGTGCCCGAGAGAACCAAGACTTATAGGAAGAGAAGTGTAGCAAGTGTGCTTTCTTCTTGAGTGCTCTCCCATGTACTGTACATGGCGTATGCAAAATAAACATATTGTGAGATGGAGTGCTCAAGAAAGCCCAGCCTAGGAACACAAGACCTGGAGTGTAATGGTTGTGCTTGCTTCTTACTCTTCCACGTCCGTGTTGATACCAGAACCTACACTGTACATGAAATGGCACAAGTGGCTGTTATAATTTATAATGTTATAATTTGCTTTTCCTTTTTTCTATGTGCTCATTAAAAACAAGATTATCAGCCAAAGAAAGCTTGTTTAGATGAAAAAAAAATATCATCAATATTATAACATACTGTGGTCATCTCCTGGATTCGTCTCTCKTCTAATGCCCTTTCTAGTTCTAATTGTTCTTGATATTTTTGATGTCTTCTTAGAAGAACTAAACCAGATGCAAAGTCTGAAGGGACAACATCTAGATCTTGGAAATATTCTGATAGTGTCCTAGTACAGACAATATTTCTTATCAGTATTCCGCAATAGTCAAATTATTTGGTTGATAGCAAGATTGATGGATTAATAAAAAGGTAATGGATTGATGGAATGGTCATTGTTTGGTTTATCATTTGTTGTGTGCTTCCATTCTTGCTTGTTTGTCTGATCAATCAGTGGCTGATCCAGGATTTTTCAAAGGGGGGTTCCACTTTGTTTTCACATTTTCCTAAAACGAACTTTTTTACTGCGCCTCTCGAACTGTAGCAAATGTCAAATGTAGCATGAATGTATTTAATAAAAATTCATTGTATTGGATGCGTTTTCATTTTATTTCATTTATCATTTATTTTATTTTTTTATGCTTGAGGGGGGTTCCTAGGAACCCATGGAACCCCCCTGGATCTGCCACTGTCAATTGATTAGTTGGTTGACTGAGTAATGGTTAGTTGATTAATTGATTCTTGATTAGAAACAAACTGATAGTCAGATTAGAAACAGAAAAGATTGGTTGATGGATGGATAAATAGAATGCTTGACTGACACATGTCATTCATTCTCTCATAATCATTACATTACAATATTAAATGTCACGTCACAAAATTACAGAGCAATAGACTGTGTCTGTATCTGGCCCACTCTACAGTCAATGTATTGATTCTCCTCTCTGAGYTTCCTTTGTRATGMTTTCTAACCTTTACSCTTACACAGGAACCCCATCAAAGGATCACACAATAGGAGCCTTACCTTCCTATGAATGCATACACATTTTCATCCCCTTGCCCTTCACCRCGGCAACAGAAAGCATAGCGGAAACACCCTTGCCATCTCCGTTCATACTTCTGTGTGATGTGTAACTTGTACTTCCGAGATGTCCCATCAACAGCATCAACATGATAYCCAGTAGTCCTGGCCTGTTGTAACTCAAACCAAGCTTGCCCAGCAGTATCAAATGTACAATAAATAATTACAGTCACAACAAATAGAAACAACCAGTTGAACACAACTACAGCTTTAGCAATATTTATCTCTTCTGACTKGTCACATAGCATGGTTCCCGTATCTATCCACACCCATTTGACCCCTATAGATAGCCATACGACTTCTATRATTGACAGCATGAGACGGACATATAGCAGTGCCGGGATAAGATTTCTTGGTTCAGTGTCCATAATTGACCCTTTGCCACTCATCCATGCGACAGAGAGTTCCATGATATTAGTAGCAAAGAGCAATGCTAGGTACCCCCCGACGTAGTAGTCTATAGTCTGTTGACAAGAATGACGTTCTTCGGGCGTGGTATAGTGGATATGCCCCATAGTATGATGGACTGTRAGAGATATAGCTAGCACTAAAAACCTGAAACAAAACATAAAATGACACTATTGAATTTTATTGTTTTAATTTTATAACTACATGGAACAGAATAATATCGCTAGGCACAAATAATGATATTCATAACACTACATTTTTAGTAAAGAACCTCTCGTGAAAGTTTTGTTCAGTTTGTATTGCACTAAAACRATGAAAAAGAACTARCCAAATATATTATAAAATAAAGTGCAATATATATTTAGTATTAAAGTTAGTATTGGGTATCAATTATTGTTGGTAACGTTTGCCACAAAAAGGCAATAAATAATAAAATGTAATTGTTAGTCCCTAATTGTTTTATTAATCTTCAAAAGGTAAATATAAAAAGCATAATTATTCATATGATACAATGTTCTAAAATTGACTATTGTTTTCTAATTTTCACTTGATGCATTGTACAATATGGAAATTTGACATTTCAAGTCTTTTTATTTCTTAATATACAGTAGGTTCCTGAGATCTATTTAGCAATACATGATTGTTAATAAATATAACAAATATAATTAAGAAACTCTTGAGACAAACAGACTATCATGGTGCTTTTAACATTAACAGTAAAGGACAATTATGTATATTTTTTAGCAGTTTTTCTTTCAAATTCTGAGATTGCATGTTCTGCTTGTAACACTATTTAATATTATATGAATTAATTAATATTGAATTCTGTCTGTTGATAAAATTTTAAGTTCTAATACGCAATCATATTACTTTGCTGTATAGCAAAGTATAACGAGGCRAATAAGTCAAAATTCTCAAAGGACTCAAAATTATTTTTGAAAAAAAGAGAAAAAAAATGATGCATCTTTTAATGTCAACAATACATGAATTTCAAAAATGGAAAAAAAACGGTTACTTATAAAAATTTTGATGATAAAGTATTTTCTAATAATTGATTATAATTTAATATATCTTCTATTATATGACTCTAAAGGTAAATCAATATCCCTAACATGTCCAAAAACTGCAAATTATAACAATTTTGAAAATTATTYTAAATCTGTGGATAGTTTTATTATAAACTCATGTCTTGCGACGCAGCTAGTTTATAAAATGAAGTCGCTAATGGCATCACATCATCCCTACAAATCCCTAAAAGCTTCTGCTACTTGGGTAGATCAACGTTTGAAAATTTTACCAAGCCCCCATGATGATCATTAAAATAAACAAGCCAAAAAGTCCAATGRAAATAATTATGTTTTTAGTTGAGCACTTGTGGTTGTTTTTGACTGGTTAGTTATCTTAAAAATTTCAGAAAAACRTGCCAAAAATATTACAAAATGCCACTATATAACAAAATAGATGAAAAAAAAAACTCCAATATTCATTAAGTATGCRTAATGACAGCTACACACTTGTCTTAATAATGACATATTTCAATATCAAAGAAATTTAATATAGGAAACAAATTGCATTTTTCATTAAACCTCAACTTAGAGGAATATTTTCTTATGCTTTTATATATGATTGCTTTTATTATTAAATATTACAACTGTGTATTTTGAATATGACTGCCAAAATGTACAAAAACATGCCATTTGTCAGTGGATGAATCATCAAATAAAAACAATTTTCACTTTTCATAATTAGTGTAAAAGCCATCTTCAAAATGAGCCTTATGCATTCAATATTATTCACAACTTACTTTTATATGCCTTAACACAAGATAAAACTTACAATTTATATATTAATCAATTTGTGGTTAACATAAGCACCAAAAAACTCAAAACACAGACTGAAATTTATCTCATAGMAACTAACTTCAAAGCTATGAGATTCTAGACTGAGATGATTACTATTCTGTTCAATTTACCAGCCATAAGTATAAATAACCTTGCCACAAGCATTTTTACAGCTTTAAAAATACAAAACACTTTGAATGTAAACTATGTGTAAACATATGTTCATAAATATTGAATAAGTTTGCAACCACAATGAATATAAAACTAATTTTACTGTGCATCATATTAGAGGAAGATAACATAAAGATGGCAGGAAAAATCAATTTGCTTTGAAAAATTACAGCACAGTTTAAGGATTCCCGCCTTAAGATCTAATGAAGAGAATGATACATTTATGTAGACGGCATATTCTCTCTCTTTATTCTGAAGGGTTTCATATGCAAATGCACTTATATGAGAAGATATCACTTAAAAAATAACTTAACAGAATGTAATTAAAGGACCCACTGGTATTTTCAATTAAACAAGATGACAAGCCCAGAAGAGAACACCTGACGAACTTGAATAACAGTAATATCACAAATTGCTGTAATTCGTCTGGTAGAGCATTTGAAACAATGAATTCAAATTCGCTTGAGATTAAACCTGTAACCACGGAACTGTATGATGTTAATTTTTTATGAACTTCACACAGCATATGGATGATATTACAAGCATAAAATCTTTTGAAAAAAACACCATATTTCATATATCTCATTTGACGCAGAATGACTTAACRCATAGCTTCGTAGTCTAAAAGGTCTGGGAAATTATAATTCCAGATAGAAGGGTGTCTGCAACATGTCTACAAAGACAATACATGGGACCAGGTTTCAGAGTATCAAAAAACACAAATGACAACAACATATTGGGTCGTTGTGGATATTAAGTACATTTTAAGCATGGATAAAATCTATCTCATTAGCTAAATAAACCTTTTATACATGTTTTAAAAAGAAAATGGAGGATATTTTCGCGGTGTAATAATATAGTCAAGCCAAGSTGAATGCTTACAAACAGTTTGACAGACTGTATAAAAGCTTACTAGTCGGTCAATTGTATGTCATCACAATTTTCACATCTCGAGTTCGATGAAAAAGAAGAAAAAACGTCAGAAAGGAAAGAACGAAACATTCGCACAAAAAMCTCTACATAAATAGAGAGAATAAAGTATGTTTTCAACAACAATTATTCAAAACAATTGGAACAATATGATTTAAATGGCGGTCAAGAAAGTGCGAACAAAACAAGTGTAGACAACAAAGCCTTACCATATTCCCCTGATAACAAATGCTATGGCAAAAGGAATAACGAAATCATCACTAGCCACCATCCATCTTCGTCTAAAGACGACGATACCTGGCATGTTTTAGCTATCTTTCCCCAAGGAAACCAAACTGTTGTTTCCACGTGAAAAACAACGAAGATTTGCGCCTTGAGTGACAGTTTTGAGTAGTGGTCAGAAAACATTGAGCTTTTCCATATCAATAAACTTATCTATTATTGACAAAACTGGTTATTTAGAATGTCAAAATAACCCTTTTTTGGTTTGTCAATAGTTGATAAATCAACGGCGAAGAACTCCGGCAAAATTCCTTGAAAATTCAGCGTCCATTCTCGCTTTGACCYATAACAGTTTGCCATCTCGTTTGTCCCGCGGCGAAATATGTCAACATTGTTTTGCGCATACTCTGTTCTAGAAACAGCTGATAGTCCCGAGGTAATCCCGCGGGAACATGATTTCACAGTATTTTTTCCTAATAATAGAAATATCTTTTTTTCAGCTTTGCTACTTCGAAAATTGTCATGTATCATATCACTTGGTTTCAGTGCTTTGATTGCTTTATAAAAAAAACACATCTTACATAGTAGATTCTAGMAGTTCAACAACACGATAAGAGAGATAAATCTAAAAGTAGATTGAGATATCCATAGCAAAAAGCTATTTTTAAGGTTTTCGTTTTCTGGATCTTTCTGAATTGATTTACTTTTACAGTATTCATGTCACCATTGATTTAAATCATGTTAAATTCATGAATTATTAAACATTTTGAGCACATTTGTACGGCGCCTTAAAATATTTTTGAAACCAAAACAAACACTTTTTTTTCTTTTATCTAAAATAGCAAGAAGAAATAAATTGGAGAGAATTAAAAAAAAAACATTTCAAAATGAAAGTAGTCACGTGGCCCGAGAATCATTAATATTCATAACATTTCTTCCGTTTGTGATTGGTTCCCTGTCCATCGCGGTTAAAATTCAAATTACTTGGATCATTCGTTTGTCTCAAGAAGAAATGCCGCTATAAATTGTACTGTTTTTTGCTCCCGATTTCGATATAACRTCGGGTTTTTTCTTTCTTCATGCTGGTAAGATATTTATTTGACATGTATTTAAGATTTCAACCAAGTTTATCGCTTAAACTRACATATCTTCGAGATCCACTGTTGTGACACGAACCGCCATTTTTGTGTCGGAGTTGTTGTTTTGAGGTTTTCTTAGTCGGGTTTCTGCTTATTTCTGAATGGATTGAGCAATATACGATACTGAATTATCCAATAMTTGCTCTACTCAATTATGGATTGGATTTTCTAAGACCAAAGTCCTAAATTTCTGAAAATAACCAAAGAGAATTCGTCAAGTTMATAATCGAGCTCAACGCCCTCGTGGTTTCTTTTCAGTTTACACATTGAAGTAAAATGGCTCACGGCACAGATAGGAAAAGTACCGTTGGTTTTTCACTGCATCTWCGAGCCACTGAGTTGATCAACGATTTCCTGAAAGAATCAGAAGGACATTTTCAGTATTTACAAGAAATTCTTGCCGAGGCGAAGGAACATTTTGCAAGGTAGAGACTTAACTTACAACTACAAAATATTTCATGGGTACATTGTCCGGTAATTGTTGCATCGACCTTGTAAATTTATTTAAAACATACATTCTCCGTTAAGTGCTTTTAGTTAATAATTTAAGCATCCAAAAAAACATTTTATAGTGACTGTAGTGCCGTTGTTTATTTGCTAGATTCTTTATCATGTTTTAATGTGTTTTGTAAAGCTATCTTTTACTTTTTAAACGATGCTTTGTGCTTCCATTTTCACTGCTTTACTCTTCTTGTTTCTAGGAGAGACAGTGTCCATCTTCTTCCAAAGACACCATGTACAAAAACAAAGCGAAGGCGTATCATAAAAGATCCTCAGGCTTCCCCAACTCTGGCATCACCTCCTGTTCAAAATMTCCCTGCTGAAASTGTCTGTAATACACCAGGCAATGCCSAAACCTCATCATCACATCTTTCTCCTATTGAGAATGCYGATGCCTCACTAAATGAAAGTAAACGCACAACAAGATCAACCAGAACAAGAGCTAGCAAGCAGAAGAGATCCTCAAGACCAAAGAGAAAACAACCAAGACGAGGAGCTAAAAAAGCCAGTGAYATKGATGATGGTGCTGAAGTAAAAGAAGATGTAAATGTAAGGGATAATAGTGCTACAACAGCAAATGATAAGGTAGTTACTCCCAAACGTTCCACTAGAAGTAAAAGGAAACAAACTGACAATGAATCTGATGAAGCTACGAAGAAAAAGAATCGAAATGATGTTAACAAAGATCAGATTGTTAAAAATAAAACACCATCTCCAAGAAAGTCAACCAGAAATAAAAGAAAAGAAAGTGAACAAGAACCAGTGGTC